CCACCGCACTGATTATTATTATTATTATTATATATATTTTTTGTTTCGTTTTTCCTGAATCGTAACTTCTCGAGGAAGACACTACAAGAAAAGGACCAAGGGCGAGGCCCCATCGGGTCTGTGTGTTTCTGTGTGTGTGTGTGTGTGTTTGTGTGTCTGGGGAGGAGGTGGGTTGGACGTTCACAGCGTCATTCTGCTGGGTGACCTGCAATGAGATTCTTGCAGAGTTCAGCTCTTTGTTATGCAGCAGCGTCCTTGCGTCATGCCTCATCTGCGCGTCGTTGCGTAGAGTCACCATTGCGTCTGTCGGATGCGCTGAAGCAGAGTGGCAACGGCACCGTTGGATTGGAGCTGCACCTCCCGCCACTCTCCTGTACGGCGTTCGCAGGGGCGAGTGAGATGAACCAAGGACTGCGGAAGGCAACTGCAACGCTAGACACGGTTTTACGCGCCTCTGCGGATAAGGCGCTTTCACTTGACTATGTTGCGTTACGCTGTGGCGCTGCTGTCCCGAGTGGGGAGTCGTGGACGCAGCAAGCGTGCCACTTGGCGTTATCTTTTATGCGCGAGGTGACTGCGCATGCACTCGCGATGGTACCGGTGTTGTTGGTAGTCCCTGTCACTGCAGCGAACACACTGCCCATGGCGTACCTTGGCGGTATGTTTGAAACACTTCACCGTGTTGGCTTGACAAACGTGCTGCTTGAGCTGCCTCACCCAACTCTAGCAGCTGTGAGTCCCACGGCGAACGGTGCTTTGCATGAGGTGCCGCTTTTTCCCATGAATGCTGCGGTGGGCGGCTGGCAGTCGTTGCTACACGCAGCGGACAGCCGCATTTTCTCACAGCGGATGCAGCCCATGCCCATGACAGCGCTATTTCCATGGATGGTGGCGGAAGAGTTTCTCAGCCGTTTTTGTGTGGGACTCTCTGTGGACGTACATGCATCGCTGCGGTCGTTGGCCCATCTGGAAAAAGGCAAGAGGGAGGGCAATGATCTGGAAATGGGCTGTTCCTCGGGCCCAAAAGGCAAAAAAGAGGATACGGAAAGAGCAATGTGGGAGAGAATACTAAAATCCCAGCGAAGCGCGAGGGATGAGGGCGGCTTTCAACAGCTATTTCGGGAACAGCAACAACAACAGCATCAGCAGCAGCAGAACCAAGAACTTCAGATGAGACCTTCTCCGAGTGCAAGCGAGGATAGCACGCTTACCCTTGACGTACCGTCAAAGGAGTTCTCTAGTATGCTCCTAGCTCAGCATGAATCCTTTCTAGCTGCGTCGGGTGGAGGTGGTGGTGGTGGCGGCGACGGTGGTGAACAGGATGCAATGCTTCTGGCACAATTCCTTCAACAAACTCCTAAAGGTCATGCAAGCAACAAAACAGCCGGATTTGGTGAAGAGAAAGCGGTACCTGAAGAGCACAAGTCCGCGAAATCAATGAATACAACAACGAATGGCAGTGACACCAAGCGACAAGAGCAACGAAGTGGGTATGCTTACTGGCAGGTATTGGGTGAGCTTACCAAGTGTGTCGGAGCACAGTACCTCTGCATGGCGCCGTGTATTAATCCTGCAGCACTTGAGGCATGGCAAAAAGCCTACGCCGCTGAGTGTACACCAAGTGGCAAAACAGAGAGGGGGGATGATGTGTTACCCTCGCCAGTGGCTTCGCTGCCCCTTGTGAGTGCAGTATGGCCGCTCCTTCGCCCCACACAGCTTGAGAGTGCGAGTCAAAGCGTGGATCTACCTGCAGAATCAGCGACAGGAACAATTAGGGACGACGATCTCTCAGATGCACTAAATTTGTTTCCACAAGAAGTGTTGCAGGAGCTCCGGCACGCTCTGCGGGAGATCCCCCCTGCACTTCGTGGCGAGGTTCTCCGTCCGGCAACGCGGCCGAGGAGAGAAACACAGATTCATTATGAAGAGAAAACTGTGCGTTTGCGCTGTTGCAACGGCAATTACACTGACGACATTTGGAACATGATTGGTGCCTGTGTGGCAGTTCGTCATGAGGTTCTTTCTGAACTTCCCTATAAACAGGCGACTCGCATCCGTGCAGTAGAGGAAGGTTTTCGCTGTGGGCCGATGAAGCGGGCGCTTGACAACATGAAGCAGTTTCTTCGCGCAGGATACGTTGGGGGACGCCATCATCGCCATCTTTTGCTCTCCGTGCCGCGTGACACAGAGTTGTCGGTTTTGTTGGAGTCACTTGACCTTCTTTGCGGTCAGAGTGCTTGATTTAAGAGGAAGTCATTTATGCTTGCTTGTTGCCTGCCGTATTTCTCACTACCGTGTAGTCGTGCCCCTCCATTCATTGGTGGTGTGATGACTCAGTGTATTGGTATCCGCGCATGCATATGTGTGTCCTCCTTCAATCTTTCTAGCTTGGACCCGCAACTGCCCAGGGAGAGGGGTAGTACAGAGAAGCGCTACCAGAGGGAAGGCGAAATGTGGCGCCGTAGTCAGTGGCTCTGCGCCCCGCCCAAGGTGGTATGTTTAACGATGATCCCCGGTGGTGGGGCGATGACGGAGGCGCTGCAGCAGCTTGGATACAAACCTTACACATTCCTGCACACCTTTTCGAAGGGCCGGGTGAGCACGCACCCACAGGAGTGGTGCATGGTGCTGGAGAAGAAGAAACCGTTCGACGCCGCTATCCTCGATGACGCACAAGGCGGGGCGAATTGCAGTAGTAGCAGCAACAAGAGCAACAACAACAAGGATACTGACAGCAGTGCGGGTTTTGACGCCCTGGTAGGTCCACCTTGTACGTTGGCATTTGAAGCGGTATTGAAGGAGTGCCCACGCAGCACACGCGTCATTCTTGTGGAAGAAACGGACAAGGACGCATGGGCCCTGGATGCTGCAGCGCTCTGGGAGCCACTGCTGCGACAAACTGAGCGCGCGGCAAAACGACAGGCAGGTAAGCACCTCCACCAGATGATTCTCAAGATGACGATGGGTATGACGGGTACGAACCGCAAGTTTGGCCCGGCCGCCTCGCTGGATATGTTAGAGGAGCACGTAAAGGCGACTGTGCCAAAGGACAGGCTGCTCGTGTATCGCTACGGGGATGGCTGGGAGCCTCTCTGTAGTTTCCTCTCAAAACCGCTTCCTATGTTGTCTGGTGGGGATGTTATGCCCTTCCCCCCGCGCAACAATGGAACGGATGTGGTGGCGCACTTAAGCAGTCAACTACAGCGCGTGGAGCGTGTGGTGGTGTGGGTGACTTGCTTCCTCATCGCCGCGATGGTGGTGCTGTACACCCCATTCTGCACGCAGTTGCGCGACATTGTAGCGGCGTACTACGATGACTACCGTGAGGCCTTTGACCCTGTGATACGAGAGAATGAGGGGAAGGGAATTACGCTTCGGCAGGCGCTGGTGCTGGCGAAGAACACCACTATGACGTTTGAGGAGAAGTGGCGCGTGCGTGGCGGCGTTTTCGGGACGATGGGCGAGGCGTTGAGCAAGATCGGCGATGACGGCTCAGCATCAACAGCAGAGGAGGTGGAAAGTAGGGAAAAGACAGTGGTGTAGTGAGGACATCCGTCGTTGTAGCTCTGCTTGTGTGCATGTGTGTCTTGTTATTCTTTTTTTTTTTTCCTTTCCTTTCGGGNGTGGGGTGGGGATTGCCTTTTCCTCGTCCTGTTGATTGGTGGAGTGAGACCATTCCTGTGTTTGTTAGACTCGATACGAGTGGTTTGCATATTACATGGGGTCCCTCTTTTCATCCTTCTGTTGAAATTGATGTGAGGCGCAAGACGTTTGAAGGACTTGTGTGTTTTGTGTTTGTGGCGTGAGTGCTCAGTGCTACTGCCATTACCACCACTAGCAGTTACAGCACCAGAAGCCGCAGCAAGAGGGCTAAGGGATACAGGGGTGCGAGAAACACGAAGAAGAAGAAGCGAGGGAATCTGCGAAGGGGGCAACGGCGCCGATTCACTCTCACGCTCAGTTTCCAAGCGCTTTCGCACAATGGCAATGGCTGTGAGGGCCATTAGCAGTAGCAACCCATTTGAGCGGCTGCGTCCGACGCCTCGCAGCGAAGAGGACGACATACGAAAAGGCATTTTTGGCCAGGCGCTGCGGCTGCTGTACTCTGCTCCTGACGAGGAGAAGTTGCGGTGGCGGCACGCCATTGAGGCCACCGCCGCGTTGAAATCCGCACCACAGCGGAAGAAACAGCAGCAGCAGCAGACAACGACAGTAGAAGAAAGCAACAACAACATCGATGGCAGTGACGGTGTGGCGCCACCTGGGGTCGCAGCTTCACTGAAGCGGCCCCGTGAGGAGGGAAGTGGAGAGACAGACCAAAACCAACAGCGGCAAGGGACGGGATGCGCAAACGACAGTGTGACAGCTGGCACGAATAGCCACAGTAGTGACCACACCGCGGCGGACACGAGCGCCCCGCGCCTGTCCGATACGGAGTTCATTGCCGCCTACTTACGCACGCTGCTTGACAAGGTTGTGGGACTGAGCCTTCTCGAGCTCCACGTCGATGCGCTGCGTGTGCTGTGCGTCATGCTCAGCATTCCGCTCCCCACCAGCAGGAGCAAGATGACACATTACAGCACACTGGCCAGCTTTTACTACACGCATTGCGAGAAGCTTGGTAAGCGTGTCTCAAGTTCTCGCCACCTTGAGGCACAGCTTAAACTCGACGAGCCGATGCTGCGAAAGATATACTCCAAGGCCTCCACGCCTAATGTTTCCGCAGCATCCGTGAGGGCCAAGTCGGGGACAGCAAAACCGACGACAGAAGTAACGTCAGAAGCACCAACAAAGCAATTGAGGACCTCCACAAGCAGCCGTACCGTTTTAGGTGCCGTAGACGGCAACGTGGCCACGTCAGCGAATGCCACGCGAGTGAGGAGGCGAAACAGTGAAGATGGAGCCGAAGCCGCAACGCGAACGCAAACCTCGCCACCCAAGGAATGTGCACAAGCAACGGGGGAGTCAGAAGAGGATGATCACGAGCAGGAGGAACATGTCTTGGAGGTACAGCATAACGGCAAGGTATTTGCAACAGCGGCGGGGACCAAACAGCAACAACAACAACAACAGCCGTCTTCTTCACTGCAAGAAGACGAAGATGAAGACGATGAATGGTCAATGGCACAACTCGAGCAGAAGGTGGCGTCAGTGGTGCATTTGTACGATCCCGTGACTTCCGCGGTGGTGGTGAAGAAGTTGGCACAGATGGGGTACCGCAGTCCACGCGCAGCGGAGACGGTGGAGGCGATACTGCGCAGCTTCCATCAACGCCAATTTGTCTTCTACGACAATGGCATTGCTTACCTTCTGTAGACTGTGCTCTTGGTGTTGGTGTGAAAATTCCTGCAGCCGTTGGCGGTGCCGCGACCAGGCCCATCTGTTTTCAGCGAAGGGGAAAGGCATATATGCATGCTCGTAAATGCAGACATATGTGGGTGGTTTCGAAGTTGATTGGTGGGGGGTGCGGCAACAACAATAACAGCAACGACTGAAAGCTGCCGCCGCGGCGTAGACAGGGCGTGCGGCGTGCGTCGCATAGAGTACAATAGACAGAAGTGAGAAGAAAGAGAAACACACAGCAGAATATAGAAGTGGCCGCGCCACTCATGCTGAGGGAGGGGGGGGGGAACAAGGCTGCTTATTATGATTGCTTCGATTATTAACGCAAAAGAGACGATATATATATCCATAAGAAAGAAATGAAAGCACCGGCAGTGTTCGCCACGCTTGACACAACTGCGCGTGGACACAGAAGTAGAGAAAGAGAGTACTGCGGGAGGTAACGGGCACACGTATCATGAAGAGAAGAGAGGCGGTGATGCGAGGTGAAAAAGCCGCAGGCAGGGCAATGAGACAGCAAACAGAGAGTTGATGTGAAGAAAGGGGGGAAAAAAGGTACAGGTGGAGGTAGATAAAAGGGTTCTCGTTATAACTGAGGGTTGAGTTGCCTCCATGTTGATATCCTTTTCCAACACCTCGGATCACCCTTCTCTTTTTTCCTCCTGTTACTGTTTCTGCGGTTGCTGTTGCCGGGGCTCCACTGGGTTGGTGAGAAGTCGTTCAGCTCCGTCAACGTCTCCACTTCACCTCCTTTTTTTTTTTTGGTGAAGTAAACAAACATTTATGCGCGCGTTTTCGTACGGCCTCTATTTCTCTCTATCTCTGTATGTGTGCGTGTGTG